GTTTTCTAAGGCCTAGCTTTGAAGCTTTCAAGCAAGGCGCGCATCGGCCTTACTCGGTTATTATCTTAATTTCTTTTTTTATACCATGTAAAGAACAGTAGTAATGGACGATATATTTTCACCCATATAGTGCGACACGCCTGAAGCGGACGACGTAAAATATAATATTCCTTCGTTCATATCGAAGATGAGGCATTCGGGGTACGGGGCATGAAATTATAATGAGCGCTTTGGCCCCGTAGCATTATGTAGCGCACAACGTCAATATCCAGCCGCAATCTTTCCCCTAACATCTCCGCGATTTTTTTTTCCTTCTTTCGGGGTAAGACATCCACATTTTTTTTTTCTTTGCGCCTTACTTTGGATGAGGCCGTTCGCGTCCATACATTCATGGCCCGCGTGCGCGCCGTTCTCGCAAAAGTTGCGGCCACGCGCTTTGCTCAATATACCCACGCGTTCTTTATTCTATCCCACGTTACTTATTCAGGCGCGATGACGTCGCAAATTCATGGCTCTGCTTCTGAATGAGCGCTAGACGCCATATATGTGCCTCATAATGTGGTTATCGCTTGTGGCACTGCCAGCTTGTAACTTTCAGGCTTGCGCCCCACATAAGTCTTTTTTTTTCCGATCCCAACTTTCTTCGCACTTACAAAAAGGTCACCGCGCACGTGGCGCAGAGGTGTAATATCTATCTATCTATCTATCTATCTATCTATCTATCTATCTATCTATCTATCTATCAATACGTCTGTCTGTCTGTCTGTCTGTCTGTCTGTCTGTCTGTCTGTCTGTCTGCGTCTCGTGCGCTCAGTGTGTTAGCGCATGTGCAGGGCCATCGTAAGTTGACAGTCGGCAGCGTTGCCCGTGTTTCACGAACCTATACTTGACCCGCAGAAACGTGTGCGATGACTCACGTCATTCCATGCAATTAAGACGTGTCTTCAATGACGCTGCGTGTGAGGTCTCGGGTAAGAATCTCTGTCTCTCCAGTGTGAGAGGAGTGCGGTGAAGCGTTCGCCCGTTGCTATAACAGTTCACCCACGGGTGACGAAAGTTTAGAAGCTTTGAACAGCACTTGATCTGTGCAGTCGAATGCGTATATTGATTTATTGATTGATATGTGGGGTTTAACGTCCCGAAACCACCATATGGTTATCAGAGACGCCGTAGTGGTGGGCTCCGTAAATATCGACCACCTGGGGTTATTTACCGTACACCCAAATCTGAGCACACGGGCCTACAGCATTTCCGCCTCCATCGAAAATGCAGCAGCCGCAGCCGGGATTTGATCCCACGACCTGCGGGTCAGCAGCCGAGTACCTTAGCCACTAGACCACCGCGGTGGGGCAAACGAATGCGTATGTATCGAACCCACATTTATAACGACTCGCTGCGCAATAACATCGATACACGCATTTCAACACCGACTCACCTTGTCTACCATCATATTTTCAGTTTATATCGGGGAGTCGTAAAATTCGATTGAGTTTATTTTCAATGTATAAATTTATTATACCCGAACTGCCTATATACAAATAGGTCTTGGTAGTTCTTGTCTATTTCGGTATAACTTGGTTAGAATGCATGCATAGGTGAGCCGTGGCGCAGTTACGAGATGTTTCTTTACAATGAACCCCAAGCAGTGCAGGTGTTGGCACACTTTTTTTTTTAACCATCAGCCTGCAGCCTAGCAAAAAAAGCCACCACCCTTGGCAAGTGCAGACCACGTCGTACGTGCCAACCAACCGCTCACATGTTCTTTATGGCCACCCGAGTTTTGCGATTGGTATCAACGCAGTATCAACGTGTCGAAACGCGTATAGGCGTACGGGTCGTCGCCATGCCGTCACCGCCGAAACCTTCGTATTTACGACTGACGTGACGCGACGCACTTTGGCGTTGGACCGCGTCTGGCCCTTCTTGATCAGGTTAAAGAGAAAACAAAAAGGAATGAAGCGAACAGAAATGTCTTTCTTATTTCGTGGTCCGCGTTGACCTGACACGTATAGCGGTGGACAAACGGCCAGCTGGCCTCCGCCCCTCCCCCCCCCCCCCCATTCTATTTAATTATGCACGCGAATCCCTTCCACTATTCCTGTGTTTGCGCTAGGCATCGTATAAAAAGCTCCGGGGACGACAACATGGACTCCGTGGTGGTCACGCCTCCTTGGTGGTGGCGGCGATGGTCACGTCGCCTATACATTGACGACGTCGCTAACAGCGGCTGACCAACACGCTGTCCACGCTATAATATAAAAAAAACGGCGCGATTGTACTTTCTTTTGTTGTGGGGCAAGCGTGGTTCTTTTGTCGCGCCTTATCACTTCCGTATCTACGCACGTCCCTCTCGGACGACTGCACTTCATTATTTGTGCTTTATACATACTCCTTACTTCGGGCGCGCGTGCTTCCTGATAAATAAGTGAGAGTCACGCTTGCGATGGTTATTGCAAACGTGTTTAACGTATTCGGCCTTGGATCGTTCTGCACCTGGTGTTTAGTGCACGGACGTGACCGCTTCGAGAAAGTGAACTCTCACCCGAATGGGGACGCACGGCGATTTGATGGGAAAACCGTAGCTAGGAAGAGTTAGCGAGATATTGTTTAGTTTAGCGCGTTTATATACGCTGCCTCCGGTGCCTCTTACGCTTTGGTCTCACACTTCTGGTCGATTCGACGCGAGGCTCCCTCGAAGAGCTAGAGCGTTGAGATAATGTAAAAGGGAGACCGACAAAATAAGCAGCAAGAAAAAGGGACAGTAAAGGTAGAGGCGAGAAGCGGTGAATTGTTAGCGATTTATGATTACAGTTTAACACTCCTTGCCTCTACAAATGCGTTTTTTTAACTCACCGTCTACGCGCTGCTAATACTTTTTTTATAGATTCTTTTCAACTTACTTAAGCTTCAATTCGTATGTGACTCATTTCTTTCGGAAAGAAGATGCGCATGATATTGCGTGCGAGTGTTTTTTGCGCGAGGAAAGTTGTTTTTGCGCGAGCAATATGTTTTTTTTTTGCGCGAGGAAAGTTGATGACGTTAAAGCACAATCGGCTCTTCACGGTTGTTCTTTATGTGTAGTGTAGACCAGAAGTTCACTCATTGGATTGTTATTGAACACAACTTTGTTGTTACGAGAACAGATTACATCTACCAATACGTAGTCATTAGGTAGCACTATAGCTGCCAATTACACAACGTGTGACAGTGATAGCAGGCATTTAGTGAGCAACTTGAGTTGTGACAGAATAGTAAGCCAACAGTAACGATACATGACCAACAATAATCAAAATTAGTAGACATTACAGCCATCACGTTTCGACACGCTGAGACAATAGTTGCTTCTTTATTTTTTTCTAGAAAAAAACGAAGGCAAGTTAACGAAGAAAGCTGTAGAACAAGCAATAACTCTCGCACTTAAGAAAGATACAAGAACACCGGAGTAAGACATTATTGGCCCCACTTGGAGGCAAGTGCGCAGAGTTACTTCTTAGCCTTGGGCGCTGGTCCTGCATCTGAAGATTTTGGGTCTTCTTTCAGATCTTTGCTACCTTGACTCCTAGAGAAAAAAGAAATTTGTCTTAAAACTGAACAGCGTCTGCTTGCAACAAGACCCAACAAATAAAAACAAATGATTAAACTGACTTAAAGTCACGAAGCCTCAGTAAACAGCTCAACTAGTGGCATCTGTTTTAGATCTCCTCTCCTCTCTCGTGTCCGTATTCGTACGCCAGGTCTCTTTAACAACATTTTTAGCTTGGAAATTGCCGAACATTCCAGAACGAATATGAGATGTAGAAGAAACTTTATTTCGTATCCGGCATGTTTGCGGACTGAGCTCTCGCCTAAGGGTCAAATAGAAGGTCTTGCCTCCTAGCGGCTTCCTCGGCCCTCTGGATTGCCTAGAGCTGATCGCCCAGGGCTGAGCTGAGCAGCGCCGATGTTTTCGAGGAGGCTGCGTTCTCATTACTGGGTCTTAATTACTGGTATTCCCGGAGGAAGGCAGCTCGTACCCGATAATCGTTGAATTGATAGGTCGTGTACATACTTTATAAAGTGTGGTATGGTATGGTGGTGTGGAGTTGTGTGATATGACTGCATTTCTATATTATCTGGTTTGTAACTGTCACCAATGGACAAACTGTGACCAATCGAGCTTATGGTGTGACGGTGAGTAAACGTCCATCTGCAGTTTTTAATGTTCAGTAATGCAAGTGAATGTATTCATGTGGTCCTCCCACTCACACACATCAGGAGACACTGACTAGGGATCGACGTCGGTAAGCTTCGAAGGTTAGTCCTAGTGCTAACGTTGTGAGCAACTACATAAGGGTTGACCACTCCCGTGGGGGTGGGGGGGACGTCGGGGTTGGAGTCTGGGACCGGAAAAAATAGAATGTATAATTTTATCACTTTGGGTTACATTGTTTGTTTTAAACATTCAAGAGCGAATGTGATAACCCCGGTCCTGAAGGCAGTAACATTTCTTCTTCTCTACCCTTGGCCTTCCCAGAATAGTTATCAGCTGATCATCCTCTCCACTTGCTTCGCTCCCACCCTGACCTCATTTTTTCCTTCACCTCTCTAACCAGCTTCACCTTTTCTCCGCCGCTACTCTTTCTATACCAGGCTCAACTCATCATGCACAAGGCTTTCCCATACACTTAGCTTTAGCCATGCTTTCCTCTCCTCAGGCTTTGCTTTCACAGCTAAGGTCGAAAATTCTAACGACGGATCGCCAGAAGTTTAGTTCTGCCTTACTCCACTAATAAGTGAGAGGCGTATGCCTGGCTGCTAGGATCCCTAGATGGCAGCTTGCCTTCGTCCAAGGCGGTGGCAGCGTGCAATATTTGGCCCGATTTGGGGCAACATCACACAACGCGATGGCTCTACTGCTTTTGACCAAATGTGGCGGCGACGCAGTGAATGGGTGTCACCACCCGTTGCAAGGCAACGCTGGCATCTGCCATCGAAGCACCCTACCGGCTAGAGCAACAGACTCACTTCAGCTCTCCGCAGTCGGCGATGACGATCTTCTTCGAGGTCTTGCCGCTCTTGGAACCGTAGGACTCGATTTTCTCCACCACGTCCATGCCCTCGACGACGCTGCCGAAGACGACGTGCTTGCCGTCTAACCAGCTGGTCTTGGCCGTGGTCAGGAAGAACTGCGATCCGTTAGTGTCCTCGCCACAGTTCGCCATGGACAGGGTCCCGGGTCCGGTGTGCTTCAGGTCGAAATTCTCGTCCTCAAACGTCTCGCCATAGATAGACTTGCCCCCCGTGCCATCTCCGTCGGTGAAGTCGCCCCCCTGGCACATAAAGCCTGGTATGACCCGATGGAAGACGGAGTTCTTGTAGCCGAAGCCCTTCTCTCCGGTGCACAGGGCCCTGAAGTTCTCTGCCGTACGAGGGACCACGTCCGAGCGCAACTCCATCACGACTCGGCCGAGTTTGACGCCGTCGGCTGTCATGTCGAAGAAGACCCTTGGCTTGGGCTTGGCCATGCCTGTTGCGGTTTAATTTCTGCAACAGTGGTGACGGTGTCTTCGAGTCGAAAGATCGAACTTTGTTACTCGCTCCTTCCAAGGGACGGGCCTGCACTCGAATCAACCGACGCGTTTCGAGAGTTCATGCTCAAACGGTTCTATCTGGTGACGATGATGATAGTAATGTTATAAAAGGCACGTGACCGCAATTGTAGGAAACTCAGCTCACAGTAGCATGAATTTCTATTACAGTTCTGTATCTACTTTAATCATACGGGACTTTAGGGCTGTCAAATTTAAAATTGCCTACTAGATATCTGTTTTATTATATTTCCTTAATCAAATTTTGGAATTCTTTTATCCCTATATATTATCCGCCGGTTTAATGGCCAGTTCCCCTAGTGGGTACGAGCCAAACATATAGGCACAAGCAAGCATCAATCGGCCATGAAGCAGATGGTAGAAGGCAGCATAAATATGTACAATAGCGAAGCTACATATTGCTGGACGAAACCATTATTCGTCCGTCCTTCGTGAGCGAAAACTCGTGGCGCTTATGTGCCATAAAAATTGGGTAAACGGAAGTTTTTACGGCTTGTTTACCGAAACATAAGAACAGGAAGGCATGGGCTGGAAACAACAATTAGGATTTCTGAACAGAAATTACCAATAATTAAGGTAAGTCTTCAATTAACCGTTGGAATTAACCCAATGATGAACACCAGGACATGAAGTTTCGCCGTTTAACCATCTGTATGGAGTGCAGGAACAGTGACTTATTAACGCGATAGTGTTAAATAGCTCGTTTCGCAGAAATTCCGGCGTCGGTGGTTGTGAACGGAAAACTCTCATCTTGTGTGTGATCAAAAAATAGAGGAAGTTGCAAATAAATTATAAATAATACAAATGCTGGGTCCGAGTGGGGAACGAATTCAGGGTCATTTGAGCGGCACCAAACTTTCTACCCCACTGCCACGCGTCTGCTTGTGAATAAAGGGAAAATAACTTCCTATGCTTGGAAATTTAGAGAAAGTAGCTTTCATGCTTTACAAGCAAAAGCGTCCTGTATACATGCTTCACAATACAGCATGAAATATTGCTGTAGTCATGCATGGCACAAGTGTGCATTGCCATCGGACGTCAGAAAATGTATCATGACATTATGGTTCAAAGCCGGTCACCCACTACAGAAGGCACACATTTTACAGCACCTACTTCACTGAGGCCACGTAATGATTGCATATTTAGTTCGAAAAGATTTCATGCGAGAAGCGTAAAAAAGATCGGCCAGCATTTTCGAAGAACGCCAAAACTGAGAAAATTTCACAATCGTTGCCAATAAAACGTTGGTTCTAAAATGTGCAACGTTATCATGAAGCCCCACAATACTTTTTTTTTTTTGCAAAAATTAGGATCGAGTTTCTGAGCGTTTCTTAGAACGTTGCGTTGGCATCCATCATGTTGTTCCTGCAGAGCACCTAGAATAACGAGCCTTCCATCGTATCCTACTTCAAAATGCAGTGCTCTACCTTCTCTTCTTTTAAAACCCTCCTACAATTATACATTTAAAATTCAGGTACATCCTCTAGTTCTGCCAACCTTTGAGCTAATTTACGTCCATTTCATCTAAGCAAAACCTTCGAAATGATTCAAAGATGGGCACTCTGCATTTTTCGGTTTAGCGCGCTTGTGTCCGGCCGCGTCCATTTCCGCGTTTCTTATCGTGCCACTAGTTCCAGCGAGATAAACGCACGCGCTAAGAATGCCATGGACATGTGCCAGTGTGGGCGTGTTTGGTTCAATGCAGCTCAATTCTCGTCCCTGCGCAAGCGGTCTGCCAGCGTAGTCGACACAAAATTGCGAAAGCTATTACGTGAAAGTTGTGGGGACAGACCATCTCTACAGGCAGCCATTTCTACGCGCAGTAGTTAGCCTTTGGTACGGCTGTTACGGCACCAGCGTTGCACACAGACCCAGACGCCGTTTAGCGTTTTAGATACACATTAGACGCAACGCTCTTTTGCGTTCGAAAACGCGAAATGACGACTGTATTTGAACAAATATATCACTGGTGGCACTGCGTCGTGCCCCAGAGACATGTAAAAACGGTGCATTCTTATTCTGGCCGTAGAAAACAGGTGCATTCATGAGACATGCATTGGCGGTATAGCCTTGGTGCAATTCGGAGTAGACCACTATATTACCAACGAAGGTCATTCGCCAGTACAGCAGTGAAAAATTGAATAAGTTAGCAAACCTATTTCCATCGATGGCACTGACAGACATGACCGTTAATGAAAAAGTACACATACAGACGCACTTCAGATTTCGCATCACACCTTTGTATCAGCCTTTACGTTTCGCACACGTTTACGTTTCGAGTAAAGAGCCTCGACACATTAGGATGAAACATGCTGCTTTATTCTTCCTTGCAAACGAAAGAACGGAAAAAACTATAAGCAACAAAAACAACATTGGTACAAAAGCAACTGAACAAGAAACTAGGGGCGTGGTGAACTGTTCTGGCTCCAGAAAAAAAAAGACGTTGGCAACAAATGACCTAGTGCCACATCAATGGAAGTGTCCAGAGTCCCTCAATCTTCGAGGCTGGATGTGGGAGAAGAGTCTTCTGAAGATGGCTTTTCCCAGTCACCCCTTAACGAAAACCGATGTGGCCAGAACTCACCAAGACAACAAAGGGAGAAAAAAAGGGGGCGAGGGGGGTCATTTGCGTTGCAGTATTTGGACTCACTTCAGCTCTCCGCAGTCGGCGATGACAACCTTCTTCGAGGTCTTGCCGCTCTTGGAACCGTAGGACTCGATCGTCTTCACGACGTCCATGCCCTCGACGACGCTGCCGAAGACGACGTGCTTGCCGTCTAACCAGCTGGTCTTTGCCGTTGTCAGGAAGAACTGAGAGCCGTTGGTGTTCTTGCCGGAGTTCGCCATGGACAGGATCCCTGGTCCAGTATGCTTCAGCTGGAAGTTCTCGTCGTCGAACTTGGTGCCATAGATGGACTTGCCTCCAGTGCCATGACCGCGGGGGATGTCGCCCGTTAAGTAATCCGGCACGAACATAGGGAAGACGGAGTAGTCAACGCCCTTCTTTCCAGTGCACTCGACAACACAATAGATGGTCGAGCCTCTGATGTCATCGTCACAGGTGAAGTCGCCCCCCTGGCACATGAAGCCTGGGATCACCCGATGGAAGACGGAGCCCTTGTAGCCAAAACCCTTCTCTCCAGTGCACAGAGCCCTGAAGTTCTCGGCAGTCTTCGGAACCACGTCCGCGCGCAGCTCCATCACAATGCGCCCGAGCTTGACGCCGTCGGCTGTCATGTCGAAGTAAACCTTTGGTTTGGACATGCTTGAAGCTGGGGCTGCGGCGGCGTTTCAGAAGCTCGGGCCTTCGTTGCGGTGCCAATCGAGAGACGCAGGCGGCGGGATAATCTGGCGCGTGTGCAACACCTCGTTCTTCCAGCGATGGAAAGAGTGCGTCGCGAGCTGCGTGCAATGCCATTAGGCGTTGGCTGCGATCATGCTGTTCATGTGGCTGCGTGCGATTGGATGGACGATGTTTGAATCAACGTCAGAGGCCTGTCGCATTTCCGGCTCCTGCAGATTGCTTAAAATGCGGGCGAAACTCGCGCAAGTGTTTTCATATAATTTCATTGCGATAATAAGTTAATATATGTGCTTATCTCTCTTTTTTTTTTGCTGTGGAGTTTTTTTTTTTGGCTTCGTGATAACTTTCAGTGCGTTAGTCTGGAACCGTAAACCTCAGTGTTTGTGGCGTTCAAAACGTGGCGTTTGATGCGTGCCTCTCGCTGCGCACTTAAAGTCTTTGTTTCGGAGACTTCGTCCACACTTTTTCGAAGCGTGGATCCCGTAAAAGTATAGTGCTTAGATACTCTAGACACTGAAGTAAAAGCGTACTGTTCGGCATCGGTATCTGTCAGTTGCTCGCGTTGCTCGGTCAAAATGGTTCCCCGATTTGGAATCACTCGCGTTAAATATTCTTTGCTTTGGGATGATCATAAGGTTTTTGACACCTACGAACCTTGAAAATGTGTTTTAGCTTGTTGCGGAACATTTAAAATGATGTCGCAGGGCGCTATGTTATTAGGGGCACAAAAAAAACATGAGGACTGTTAGCACCCGAGGACTAATAGGTTTTCTGTTAACGCATTTTGACAACTCGTATGTGCCATAAAAATAAATTTTTTTATCTGTCTTGGCCTCTGTTGCTCCGGAATATGCACAAAATATTACCATCAAGTGCAAGAAGGTATCTTTAGCCGTTAGCATTCCCATGCCCGCCCCGCCGCGGTGGTCTAGCGGCTAAGGTACTCGGCTGCTGACCCGCATGTCGTGGGTTCGTATCCCGGCTGCGGCGGCTGCATTTCCGATGGAGGCGAAAATGTTGTAGGCCCGTGTGCTCAGATTTGGGTGCACGTTAAAGAACCCCAGGTGGTCAAAATTTCCGGAGCCCTCCACTACGGCGTCTTTCATAATCATATGGTGGTTTTGGGACGTTAAACCCCACATATCAATCAAGCATTCCCATGCCCCTCTCTTTGGGGTCGCTTCCGTTGTGACGATTGCAAAGTCGTGTGTTTCGATTTGTTGGCATGTATACAATGTCATTCCAATGAACAAATGAACCGAAGATACCTCTCACCCACTGCTTCGGTACTATCTTTCATCGATGTCACGCAATGCCGACTAAATTTGAAGGCCGAAAGGCTGCCGCAGTGAGCCTGCGTTTCGTTCACGTTTTAGGAGAACCAACGCTCCCGCTCTCGCAGCTGCTGTGGCTTGATTGGGCCGAATAAAAGATGTGGAAAAAAAAGTCTTACTGAGCATGCTCAGTTGGGCAACTGGGCCCCCAACCTCTGACGTCACTGCGGCAGCCTCTCGGCCTTGAAATTTAGTCAACGTTGTGTCACGGCACGTTCCCTTTGCAACTTTCTCGTGATTGCAAGGTGCCAGAAAAGAACTGTTTTAATCCTAAAGTTGGAGGAAAAGAAGAAGAAGCCGAAGTGTGCGAACGCTTCCATTACGGCTCCTACTTTATTCAACGTTTTTGCGACGCCACTTTGTGATTTCAACGTCATATTAGTGCAACGACTTCCAAAAGACACAAGGACTCTGCCGACACAATTTGGGCGCAGTGAGTGCTTGCTTCTTGCATTCTATTTCGCCTCCGCCATCGTCACTCGCCCACCGCCAGCTAGCCCTGCCGAGCGTCTTCTTTGCTCTAACGTGGCGCGTGCTTGCTCGCGCGCCCCGTAGCCGCACTGTCTCGCTGAGCGATGGAGTACCAAGTGACAGGGGAAGACATTGACCCTGAGGAAATCACGCCAGACCAAGGCTGGCAGCCCGCCTCGTGTCGCTGAGCCAAAAATGAAGGCTCCAAACGTGTGCCGTCATATAACGCTTTGAAACGCAACGATCACAAGCCCCGCAACAGAGAAAATGTGAAGAACAAAATTATTCGAGCAAGCCGAATGCCTCATGTTGTGTCGGCGACTGGCGTCCGACGGCGAGGGCCCGACGACTGAACGCGAGACGCAACGTGCGCTGGCACGCGCCCCCGACACGCGCAGTAGAAGTGAGTGGACCGGAGCCCGCGGGAACCCAACAAAGACTGAGCCGGCCAGCGGCCGTTCATTGAACGACACACAACGGACACACGCGACTGGCTGCATGCAATCACGTGTGTGCCGTTACAAACGGCATATGTTGAACAGAATACACACTAGGGCGCACTCAGTGCGCGCGCCAATCACAGGTGGCGCCACGACACAACATCATCCCCCCCCCCTCGTCGACAAAATGAGCATTATCACAGGGTAACACTAGAGAAAGTCACAGGATTTCCACTAAGGAATGTTCACGCCACACGAGCAGCGGGGAGAAGAACAGTTCGCGCACAGGCACAAGTGGCCTAATACAACAGATACGTCACACACTTGTGAAACGAAATACACTGCAAAAAAAAACACACAACTGAAAGTCTCCTGCGATGTCGTGGCTGGGCCCACTAGCTCTCTTTTGACCTTAAGTGACAAAATCTTTGAGCCAGTCAGGTAGTTTTGTCTGACGGCGCGGACGCATAGAAGTCTCAGTAGAACTTGTTGAAGTGCGACCAGGTTCGGTCGTCTTTGAAAACCTTGTAGTCCCTTCACTTTCCCCCTCCCCAGGGTTGAGACTTAGTGGATTACTTGAAAAAGGTACCCGCACCGGGTCCTGCTGACTTCCCAACGCTCCTTGGGGAACAACTGATGCAGACCCTTCACTATAAGAGATCTCTGACGAATCAGAGTCTGGCTGAAAACTGGGGGTGGAGCCGTGCAACGTAGGTGCACCAGGGGACCGACTGCCACAAAGATCTAAACTGGAATAAGAGTAAATAAGTTCTTTGGGTTTAGTAGAAAGGGCGGCATTCTGGAAAGAATCCCTAGGAATTACTGTTAACTTGGATGCATTCCACACTTTTCCGTCACTGAGGAGAAAAGTGGACGGCGCAACCTGAGCCTTCACTGTAAGAGGCCTACTATACTTGAAAAAGCCTTTCCTATGGAGTCTTACCTTAACCAAATGGCCGACGTTTATGCGGATTTGCTGCGCACCTTTCCTTTTGTCAAAATACCCTTTGCTCTTATTCTGTTTCGCTGCAACCCGATTCCGGACATGAGGCAACCCATTGGGCGACTCCGATACCTTAGGACGAATCCTAAAGTTGCTAATGTCTACTTTGGAATGAGGTTGTCGACCGTGCAGCAAAAAAGCTGGAGACAGGCCAGTCACCGCATGTGGTGTGACCCTATACGAACTCAAAAATTGTGTGATGCTCCTCGAGGCATCTTTACCTTCGAATCGGGTTACCTGGAAATGTTCCTTAAGAACCCTGTTAAGGCGTTCTATTTGACCGTTGGCCTGGGGGTAATAATTGAACGAAAATATATGACGGATTCCCTGTTCCTTTAGATATTCCTGAAATTGTACAGAGACAAATTGTGGACCATTGTCAGTTACTAAGAACTCTGGTAGCCATTCCCGGCTAAACGACGATTCCAACAGCTTAATGATATCCTCTGTGGAGATAGAATTCGAGCCAAGAACCTCAGGCCATTTTGAATAGTAGTCGACTAAGGTAACAAGATACCTGGGAAAAGATGCGTTTGACGGGCCGACAATGTTCATACCCAACTTTTGCCACGGCCCTTCAGGCCATTCAACGGGCTGCAACGGGGCTACACGCGGCTTGGCCGACTTGTCTGTCAGCTGACGGATGTGACAATGCTTGACATGTTCTTCTACAGAACGATCCATTTGGGGCCACCAATACTTTTCACGCAGAAGTTGCTTACTACGTACTCTACCTTGATGATTTTCATGTGCTAATTGAAGGAAAGTAGGTACCAGAACACTGGGAATGACTACACGGTCACCACGCATGAGTAATCCGTCAACACAAGAGAGTTAATTCCTAACATGAAAGTAAGCCATTAACTCATTGTTTGTATCCTTCTTAAAAGGCCAGCCCTTGGATACACATTAACAAACTTTTTGCAACGTCATATCTGCATTCGTTGGAAGTTGGGCGGTTTCTTTGTCAACTACAGATGTCACTAAAGACACTAATTCTTCATCCTTGCTAAGTTCTGGACAGGTCTGAATTGGCAGCCAAGACAGGGCATCAGCAACCACATTTTCTGAGCCGTTGCAATATTCTATGTCAAAGTTGTAATACAAAAGTCTAGCTGACCACCGCGAAATCTTTCAAGGCCGTCGGCCTGCATCACCTGCGGCTAACAAAGCAACTACAGCCTGATGGTCGGTTCTAAGGGTGAAACGTCTACCCCAGAGGTAAATATGCCACCTTTCACATGCGAATAGATAGGCAAGCGCTTCGCGTTCACCCACAGAGTACTTTCTTTCAGTATCTGACAAGGTTCTCGACGCAAAGGCTACTGTTTCAAGCTTAGGACCATACCGCTGCTGTAACACAGCCCCAATGCCCACGTCAGATGCATTGGTTGTAACCACCACAGGTAGCTCAGAATTAAACACCTTAATGACAGGCGAACAAATCAGGCGCGTTTTTAACTGGTTAAAACTGCGTTGGGCATCCTCCGACCAGCAAAACTTTTGGCCCTGCCTGAGCATGAGACGAAGCGGTTCAACTAGGTCTGCATATTGATTAATGAACTTAGCATAGTATCCTGCCAGACCTAAAAATGACTGTAAAGACTCAATGTCTGTAGGAGCTGGGGCATTTACTATAGCCTTTACCTTACTTTCTAACGGCGATATGCCATCAGCTGAAATCCGGTGGGTTGACCATCGCTAGGGTTGGCCCAACGACAATCGCTGAAGCCATTTCGACTTCGGCAGGTATCAGCCCATCGGAACAGCAAGCAGACACGCTCTGCCCCAACATTAAACAGAATATCTTAGTAGCAAGCACGTCGAAGAGAAAAA